GCTCAACATCACTCACCATCAGGGAAATACAAATCAAAACCACAGTGAGATACCACCTCACACCTGTCAGGATGGCTAACAGTAACAACTCAGGCAACAACAGATGTTGGTGAGGATGCGGAGAAAGAGGATCTCTTTTGCACTGCTGATGGGAATGCAAACTGGTGTAGCCACTCTGGAAAACAGTATGAAGGTTCCTCGAAAAATTAAAAATAGAACTACCCTACAACCCAGCAATTGCACTAGGAGGTATTTATACAAGGGATATAGGTATGTTGTTTCAAAGGGGCACATGCACCCCAATGTTTACAGCAGCACTACTGACAACAAAGTATGGAAAGAGTCCAAATGTCCATCGACAGAGGAATGGCTAAGGAAGATGTGGTATGTATATACGATCGAGTATTACTTGACAATGACAAATAATGAAATCTTGCCATTTGCAACTACATGGATGGAACTAGAGAGTATTATGCTAAGCGAAATTAGTCAGAGAAAAGATAATCATACAACTTCACTCACATGAGGACTTTAAGATACAAAACAGATAAACCTAAAGGAAGGGAAGCAAAAATAATATAAAAACAGGGAGGGGGACAAAACATAAAAGACTTAAATATAGAGAAAAAACAGAGGGTTGCTGGGTGGGTTGTGGGAGGCGGGATAGTCTAAATGGGCAAGGGGCATTAAGGAATCTACTCCTGAATCACTGTTGCACCATATGCTAACTAACTTAAATATAAATTAAACAATAAATAAATTAAAAAAAAATAAAAACCTTATCAGACAGAGCCCCAATTATGAGATTTGATGGTACCAATCTCATTACCTACAATGGGAAAGCAAAGAACACAGGCTCTTACACCTGAGCTATTGGGACTGGCCTATATGTTTTTCTTTAGCTTAAATTTTCTTTCCTAGTCTTTAAAAATTTTTTTTAATGTTTTTTAATTTTTGAGAGAGAGACAGATGGTGAGCGGGGGAGGGTCAGAGAGAGAGGGAGACACAGAATCTAAAGAAGGCTCCAGGCTCTGAGCTGTCAGCACAGAGCACGATGAGGGGCTTGAACCCATGAACCATAAGATCAGGACTTGAGCCAAAGTCAGACGCTTAACTGACTGAGCCACCCAGTCACCCCTAAAATTTTCTTTTAAGATTTTATTTTTAAGTAGCCTCTACATCCAACATGGGGCTTGAACTCATGACCCAGAGATCAGGAGTCCCATGCTCTACCAATTGAGCCTGCCAGGAGTCCCAGACAAAGCCTCTTTAGACCAAAATAACCACAATACCGAGATCACACCTAAGGAGATGAACACTAAATCCTTCATATCAAATATTTGGTCATGGTCTCATTTCCCAAACTGTTGCATAGTTGTTTTCGCATGGTTGGTTGGTTTGCTTGGGAGCTACGAGCCCATTTTGCTTTCCCGGCGGTTATAAGAGTTAGAGGTGGTCCAGAAGACCAAGTTTATGGGCACGGTGATGGCCTTAAATAGAAGAAACCATGAGGCAGTCACTGCAGCCAGAGTCAAGCACTAAGCCTCACAGTGTTCAGCACACATACACACAATACAACCTTTTCCCTGAAGTGCAAGACAACTGTTAAAATCCTTCTCTATACCAGTGTTGAAATATTTTGAGAACACACACACACACACACACACGCACATCTGGTGGTCTGGTACCACAATCCATTTCTACCCTGGTTTTGATTCTGCACATACCATCACCCATGTGGTGGCATTCCTCACTCAGATTACTGGCCTAACCCGGTAGTTGAAGGAAATGAGGGAACAGTATGAATCTTGGTGAGGGTGAGGCTCAGTGACTGCAACATGCACAGATCACAAGTTACAATGACTCAGACTCTTTTCTCTCCCCGGAGCCAGAACAACTTTTGGGCTAAGCACCTCATTTCATTACATCCTCTAACAAGGAAAGGCCATAAGGGAGCACATGTCCAGACCATGAGGAAGCAGCAGCAGAAGTTGGTTTTAGCATGAGACACTGCAGCCCCAGAGGCTGTGAGACAAGACAAGACAGAAGGAAAACATTTGAGTGGGGATATCCCACACCTGGATAAACCTCAAGGCCTAGACAAAAAGGATGGTGTCAAAGTGCCTTATATAAATGGAGACATATGATTATTTATGATCAAGCACCGCCTGAATGGTCTGAAGGCTGAAGACACAGGCCTGGCAATAACAACAGGAAGAATAATAATCACTCTCAGAGTAATGAGCACATGTGCCCAGAGCTATGATTCCCTGGCATTCAGCCACTGCCCCTGTCAAGAGAAAACAGCAGGTTTAGGCGAACCCTGCTTAGCCCAGGGGTGGCTTTTCCCCATGCAAGGAAAAAAAGAAGCTTCCTGTTGGGTTCCTTGGAACCACAAGGGCAGCCTCAGCGCCCAGCTCGCCAGGAAGTGTGGCCAGCAGGCTGCCCAGCTCAGGCTGTGGCCCAGCTGGTGAGGTGAATGCTCAGGAAGATCTTCTGGAAACCGGACAGTGCCTGGAACTCTTGCTTGAAATCCACGGCACTGAGACCCACCTGAGGTGGGGTTTGCCAGAAAGGCTGCTGATGGACTCCTCTGCTTACAAGTTTCCCCCACATCCTGAGCTGCGATGTTTTAAACCCTTGACCTCACAGCACCACCTGGCCCTTTATCAGGAAAACTGGGAACAGAGAGAATCAGAAACCACCGTGACACAGGCAAGAATGGACACAACTTGAAATCTGTTTTGGATTATCACACTGGAGCCAGGATTTCCAGCCTGGTAGATAGGATGCCTGAGCACACAAAACCCCGGCTTTTTCCTGAGAGCAGCCGTTTTGTCCTTCGTGTGGAGTAAGAGTTTAGAGGTATCCCAATTCCAGGAAGACACATTCACAGACCAGCAGGACATCACGACTGTCAATGCAATGGCAGCCCGTAGCCTTGCCCCCACAGAAGCAGCAGTCTCCTCAGAAGGGCCCAGGGATGCCACTCAAGGGGGAAGCCACTGAGCTCAAAGGGGCCTTTCTCCCTCTTCTCTTAGCTTTCTGTGACTGGGAGGATTTCCTCTCATCAGAGGGAACTTGGGGAATTCTGACCAGGGCAGGATTTAAAACAAGTCTCCTTACACGTACAAGCCCCTCTGCCAAAAGAAAGCCGGGGCCTCTGCCTGTGAACTTGGGAGTTGAAGGGGGCATTGAGCAATGACTCCAGGCTGCCTGGGCCTTTGCTGGTGAAATGGGCCAGGTCTTCGAGGTGGGTGAGGTGGGCTTCAGGATGGGACTCTGGTCCTTTGGCCCCACTTCAGTAAAAGCATTTATACTCTGTTTTGGATACCAGGTCTTACATTTTGTGGGAAGAAAGGATCTGGGTTCCCCTTGACTAGTGGAGCTGACCAGAAGGCCACTTCTTGGAATCTCATTCCTGAGACCAATGAAGGTCGGGTCTTCTCAGGGAAGAAGAGGAAACTCAGTTCTCTTCACCAGGATTTTGACAACGGGGGCGCCCAGCCAGGCCTTTCTCCCGGCTGTTTGGAACGGCGGAGAGGCAAAGATGAGGAGGACCAGGCAGCCTCGCCTCACACCCTCGCCGCTCACCTGAGGGACACGGACAAGATTCTCTCCATCTCAATTCTCCGCTTCAGCACTTCCTTCACCAGGCCTTTGTCCGGGCCCTGTTTCACTTTCTCTCGTCCGATTAAGTATAAGCACTTGGGAGTAAGAAGCAAGTCTCGCTTTACACCCTGTAAGGAGAGGTGCTTTAAGAAGGTGGGCGGACATGTCAAAACGGCCACTTTCCCCACAATGGGCAGCGGTCAGTGTGTACCTTGAACCTTCTGTCATACTTGGTCACTGTGTCTGCAAAGTCGATCTTCTCCCTCTTGCCCACAAACTGCTGGAGCTCCGGGTGTTCCTCCATCCCGATGTAATCCCCGATGAAGTTCCTGTTAATACTGTTTCTCCTTCTCTCCTTCTTGTTCAACAGGAGGTCTGAGGCTGCAGTTCCCCAAAGGCCAGAGAAGAGGGAAGGGCCAGGGCCCCAGAAAGAGGAGGAATATCGTGTGGAAATACACAGAGAAACTCAAAATGAATGCAAGATTTTAACATGTGACATTATAGGCAAAGGAAAGCGAACTTGTAACTTTGAGCTCAAAATCATTCTGGAGCTTTGTTAAATGCATGAAACAAAAGGACTAGAATACCTTCTTCTCTCATTTGGACGTATTTCTTCCGGGCCACAAATTTCCTCCATGATTTCTGTATCACTCGAGCATATCCATCATACTTTCTCTCTCTCATTTCTTCTAGAAGAAATAGCTGTGAATGTACAGAAGGAAGATGTGAGCCAATTCATAAGACCTCAGCATCACTTTTTTTGGGGGGGGGGACACCCAGTTTAGTCAAGGACATAACATGGGGAGCAGTTTCTCTGACTCATGAACAAAAGTGAAAAAATGATTACTAGGGCATATTGTTTGTAATTACAATAATGTCTTTAAATTTTTTTTTGAGTTTATTTTGAGGGGGTGGAGGGGCAGAGAGGGAGAGAGAGAGAGAGAGGGAGGGAGAGAGAGAGGGAGGGAGGGAGAGAGAGAGGGAGGGAGGGAGGGGGAGAGAGAGAGAGAGAGAGAGAGAGAGAGAGAGAGGGAGAGAGAGAGAGAGGGAGAGAGAGAGAGAATGAATCCCAAGCAGGCTCCATGCTGTTAGCCCAGAACCTGATTCAGGGCTGGAACCCACGAACCATGACCTGAGCCGAAATCAAGAGGTGGAGGCTTAACCCAGGTGGCCCTGTAATCACTATAACATCTTTATCTCTCTCTGTTTTCTTCATGTAACCGAACACATAACAGAAAACAGGTATATCTGGTTGTTAGTTGGGCCTTGATAATGTGTGCTCTGCCTTGCTCATCATCATAATCTCTGTGAATCAAATGGGTGGTTCCACGTTCATCCCCTAGTTTTCTGCCTTGATCCAAAGGGGATGCTAGATGAAATGAACTGGAGGAAGCCACCGTTTAGTGCTGCACGCAGCCTCTTCACAGAGTTTCCAGCTCTTGCAGGAGCAGACCTTGTGCTGCTGTGGAAGAGGGCTGCCTGATTTTCAGGTCCACGAAAGTGTAGACTTTTGGCTGCATAGATTCTCCAAGGAGTCATTGGGCCAGAGGGTTATAACCAGTGCAACTGGAGCTGGACATAAGGTGTATAGTCGGGACATGACTTCACCTAGTGGAACTGGGACTGTTCTGTGTAAGGACCCAGGTCTTGAGACTCAGGCCCCTTTAACAATCCTGACTGCTGCACCCTACTCAAGGAAGCTCTGGAATAACGAAGATAATAGCAAATAGCTGTAATGTACCGAGAGCCCACTATGGGTCAGGTATCATTCTAGATTGACATTCTAGAATACATTATTTCATTCAACTCAGCAGCAACCACACAGGCCACACAGGTCCATCATCTCCATTGCACACAGGAGAAAATTGGAACTAAGACTGGGTGGGAATGGAAAGTGACCCAAGGTCTTTCAGGCCTTGCCAGGCTCTTCCTCACTTTGGCATATAAGTCTGTCTCTGTAAATCTGCATGCGGTCAACTCATGAAATGGTGGGGAACTTTCTCGCTCACCTTGGCAGTGGTTTTCATGACTCTCTAGGAAACAAAAGAAAATGTACCAATGAAAACAAGTAAAGCTGATGAAAAGTCACTGCGAAAATGTTCCAGAAGTAAATAGGAGAATTTGAAGGCAGCCAGGCTCGATTTGGTGCCTCTGTTTATCTGGATCTATCCTCAGGAGCCACATCCGTCCCTTCCTGTCACTAAACTTCTGCTTCTCACAGCCCTAGCTGTGCAAAAACAACATCTCAAACTCAGAAGGGAAGGGGCCGCTTCATTCCACAGCTGTCACTGCCACGTACAACAGGGACGGGGAGCGTATTTCTGAAAACAAGAGGAATACGTGGTTTAACATTTGGACAGAATGTTTAAAATCTGAGCCCTGTGGTTGCCTCTTTGAAGAATATTCGTTGGTCTTTCTTATCTTGGTGTGTTGGGTTTCTGAGTAAGCCTTGTTTTCTTTCGTTCCCAGAACTATTTTGGGAGTGTCACAGAGAATGCACTTGTGACTCAGAAAGGAGGAGGCAACCAATTCCCAACCTCCTATAGATGATATCAAACATTAGCTGGGTTTTAGGTTTTTTCCAAAAGCCATGGAGGTTAGAAATCAGGGAGCTTCAAGAAAAAAAGGGAGAGAGAGAGAGAGAGAGAGCGCTCCCCACCCCCCCCCCCACAAACCCCCAAATCATGTACACATGTACCAAGCAAATGGAAACCAAACCCTTTGGTGTCTGATGGGGGTTCTTTAGGCAAACGGGTTATTTCGTACATTCAGCACATCTACGCTAAGCGTCAAGGCAAAATCACAAGGCAGATTCTTAAAAACCAGCTTTTGTAGAAGTATTCGCAACGTCAGGACTAGACGTGGAAGGCTGAGTGATGGGGGAGGGGAGAGAGTAGTGAAGGTATGTGCGTGGTGTGCGCCTGTGTGTAAAAAGATGGGGAAAAGGAGAATCGAGTGACGGCAATAAAGCATTCAGGAGGAAGACAAGGAAAAGAAAACCCAAAATAAACCTTGATTTTGCAAGTAAAACTCCACAGCTCAACTAAATCAGAAAAAAAAAAAAGGTACAAAGAATGTTGAAGCTGTCCTTATTATACGTGGAAATTTAGCAAGACAAAAAAGTACAAGCGGGTACAAAGCAACAGAGGAGTTCTGCATTGTACTGATAAATCACTCCATCCCATTTTAGAAAGAACAGGAACTGCTCTGTGGGTTGCTTAATGGTGTATGACACAACATTTTCATTTTATATTTGGAAATGACATTGCTGTGAAACTACAAATAACTCAAAAGTGGAAAATGCTACCACAAACTTTTCATAAACGGGTTCTATTGATGTGTGCCACTGATTTATTTAATAATTTCTATGGCTCTTAAAGCCATTCAGTCCCAGCCATTAACCATTTCTGAGTCTCCGTCTGATCCTCTGAGGCAGAACAGCAGCTGTGGGGCCCATTCTAGAGGACGGAACTCACTGCAAAACCGGGGTTTGTCTAAAGTCAAGTGTTTCCGCGGTCACCAACACTGCCGGTTCGCATGGTATTTCCCCTGGATCTGATGACTAATTTTGTCAAGTTCACCAGAGACTCTTGAAATGGAGTCTTGTGATTGGCAAAGGAATCTCAGGAAATGATGATGTCCAACACTGGTTAGTTCCAGCAGCTTCTCCATCTTAAAAAGTATTGTCTTCATTCCATAGTCCCAGAGCTACCTGGGCAGAAGAACTGAGGGGTTCTGCTACAAGGAATCCAACGTAGGAACTGGGAACTTCCTATAGACATTCATGAGGCTCACAGTGACCACCTCCCCATCAGGAATTATTAATTAATCTGTGGAGATCTAGTAAGTTTGCTAATTGTAGAACTTATTTTTGAGCTCCTTATTGGTAAAAATTTGTGTTCTATTAACCCAGAGATTTCTCCTCTTCCCTATTCAGCTCCTCAAAGTTCTTTCCAAGCTCCCTCACGGTGTTCAAGATCTAGTCCTAAGACTGCCCACCCCAGAGCTCTGTTCCACCTTCAAGGAGGAAATCTGTGTGTGTAAAAGACCTGTTTGGTGTCACCCAGGTGGAGGATGTTAAGTTTACCCAAGCGTCCTTAGTCGGACAAAGAAGTCCCTTTTCGCCGAGACTCTACTGGATACTAGAAGTAACTGGTGGGCACCTGCTGTGAGCCACTTTCCGTACAAGGCTCTGAGTACACAAACATACCAAAGGGGCAAGAGTCCCTGACCTTGAGGAGATGGCCATCTAGCATGGGAGAGAGACAGTAAGAAAAGGAACAAGATGACGACATCTTTTTATACATGCTGAGCTCTCTGAAGGCTCTGCAGAGCAAGGGTATGGGGAATGACCTACACTTACATTGGGAGCAGGGGAGAGGACACCGAAGGCATAAACCAAAGAGTGAGAAAATGAAGGCAGCACGTGTGAGAAGGGGCAGCAGAAGCGCTGCGGGAAGGGGTGGGGGGCACTGAGGACATGACGGAGGGCAGCGGCATACTCACAGACTCGGGGGCTTTGATGAACACTTTGCTCCTCCCGAGCTGGAACTGGTCACTGTCCATGTTGACGGACTGCAACAAGTGGAGGACACCTTGTTTTTCGTCCCCTCTCCACGAGGGCCAGGTGGCTTTGGTCAGAATGGCATACCTGTGAGGACAATTGGGGAGAGAAGGCTCAGCCTCAAAGTGGACTGCCCACCAAAGACACCCACTGCTGTGTTTCTTGGTGATCCATTCACCTCTGCTCTCGGCTTGGGGATGGATCTCAACAGCTGAAAAATCCGCTGGGTCTGTTATTCCCATTCTGGAGCATCCAGCCTACCCACTCCCTATCTATTTCCATGTTAACACCCTGGGGGAAAATCTGCTTTTCCTTTCTACTACTGTCTAAAAATAGCACTGCTGAAGGTCGCCAGTGACAATCTTCGGACAAAATCAAACGTTCTTTTCTCGATGGTGATCTCCCCTGATTTCTTTGGTGTGCTTAATGGTTAATGCGAAGAGTTTTATAAAGCCCCCTGTAAGCAGCAGTTATTACTAAGTATCAACATTCATCTAGAGTCAAGAGGCCCTGGTGTTTGGTCCTTGGCTATTCTCTCTACTTTCTCTTCTGCTCACTATGTCCCTGGGAGGATGGCTTCTTCTTGCACCCTAAACTCTTTCCCTCCACAGAGCCTTGCCCATGCTGTTCCCTTTACCGGGTGTCCCGATTTGGGAACGCCTCACGTGGCTGGCTTCCGTGGCGCTGTCCCTCAATGACACTTGCAGAGGGGCCTTTATAGACGACCCAAGCCAGAATAGCACCACTGTTATTTTCTCATAGAAAATAGTATTTTCCCTTTAGAGTATATATCATAATTGGTAATTATTTTCATGTTTGTACTTATTTTATTTCTGCCCCCTCTGTGAGGACAAGAGCTCCATGAGGGGAAGCCACACCCGAGCAGGTGACAGTGCACATCCAGCAGCTCACACAAAGCCTGGGGCTCGGCAGCAACAAGGAACAGTAGGTGGCTACCATCTACGGGGTGCTCTCCCTGCATCAAGTGCTGTTCTAGGGGCATTAGGTGCATGGTCTCATTTTATTCTTCCAGCCACCTGATCAGGTTGGTCTTTCTGTTTTACAGAGGAGGAAACAGAGGCAAACAGAGACTCACCTAAGGCTACTTAGCTAGTAACTCTCAGAGCTGAGATTTGAACCCCCATCTGTTTCTTTAATCACAATACTACATATAAGCCACGGATTGGCTTATGTGTAAATATCTTTTTTAAAGGTCATACACTCTACTACACGTTTATGTTACAAACGTTGTAATTCTGTAAGAGGCTGACATAACAGAGACAGAAGCACACTACATGATGTCAAATACAGAAAGTCTCAAAGACTTAACATGGAAGGAAGGGAGGGAGGGAAGGAGAAGAAACCAGAGAGGAGTGCAGGAGAGAAGTTGGAGTGCACGGCCTATGCGAAGGCACATCTAGACACAGCAGTGAAGGGGCTCCAGGTCTCCAGAGAAGCCAGGTCCTCCTTTGCTCCCAGAAGCTACTACCAGGATTAGACAGACTTATGGCATCTGAGGGAGAAGGGAATCTTAATAAGAAGAGCGGCCATGCTTTCAGGATCCAGAGCTTGCTAAGAAGACAAAAGCTGGTATTACCCTTAGGATCAGCTGGTTGGGACTAAGATGATTCTAGGGAGCCTCTCTCCTCCTCCCAAATACCCATATTTTGCTTGATAATGTCTTAAATGTCTTGGAGAAGCCAATTCTTCTACTCCCTAGTTAGAGATAAAAAGCTTAAAAATGAGGGGCACCTGGGTGGCTCAGGCAGTGGCGCATCCAACTTTGGCTCAACTTCATGAGTTCGAGCCCCGTGTGGGGCTCTGCTCTGTCAGCACGGAACCTGCTTTGGATCCTCTGTCCTCCTCTCTCTCAAAAATAAATAAACATTAAAAAAAACATATTTTTTTAATGTTTAGAGAAAGCTTAAAAGCGAAAATACCTAGTTGAAGCCGCACATCTGCCTGAATTTATTTCATATGTGGCATAATAAAATCAAACAAATGAAGCCACATATAAATGACTGACAGCAGAATCTTTCTAGATGCCACTGGGGGGCTTGGTGAACAAGTAGCAATGTGCTGGCAATCTAAATGGGTGAGGGAGAAAAATTCATGCCGGCTACGGGTGATAAAGAAAAAACTAGGACTCTGACGTGACAAGTCTTCAAGAGTTCAGGCCTGGCTTAATCTAATCAAAATTTGAAAGGAAACAGTCTGTATTGTGCAAACACAAACAGGTAGCTCTTCACACAACCCCCCCACCCCCATTAAAATAATGCTACATGTCTCATTTGATTTTTTTAGAGTAAGCAATTGGTTTTCCAGAGACTTTCTCTCCCTTTTCCTGACAAGGCTTCTAACAGTTTGAGTCTGGGCAAGACATGGGGTTTGAGTGGCATCTCCGGGCCCTCTGATCATGGACCATGGCAGTGGGCCCCTAGCTTTCCTGAAGGCTGATGTGCCCTCCTCACTTCCTTTCGTCTTCAATGGAGACACCAGGGCATAATTCTAAAATTTTTTTTATGTTTATTTTTGATAGAACACAAGGGGGGTGGGAGGGGCAAACAGAGAGGGAGACACGAAGCAGGCTCCAGGATCTGAGCCATCAGCACAGATCCTAACGTGGGGCTTGAATCCACAGACCATGAGATCATGACCTAAGCTGAAGTCTGTCGACCAGGGCCTAATTCTAGTATAAGGCTCTCCCACTCCCAGGTCACTGTCTTCCTCCATGATATGTTGCTGGGAACAGGGTGCACAGGGCAATGCCTAACTGGTGCCTGTGAGAATTTTGGAGACGTGAGGATCATGGCTTACATTCCTTTCATCACGTATTTTTAGTTTAAGACCCAACTATGCCAGTATTTCATCTCAAGCCTGTGCACTGGTTGTTCTCTTCACCTCTGACTGGTGGGCTCCTTATTACCTCTCAGATGACCAACTGATGTTTCCTCCTCAAAGGAAATGCAGCCCAGACCCCACTGACCTCTAGCTGCTGGCACTGGAGCTGAGGATGTTCCTGACATCCAAGGACACAAAGGTCTTGGTAGCTAGTAAGTAGGACACTCTCGCCACCTCATGTATTCCTGAGCCTTCTATTCTTTCTTCTCTCTTGCCCAGGATATGGACTGACTTTTCTCACAAGTGTCCCTTTTCCACCCCTACATTCTGAGAGTCTAGGTCAAGGTCAAGGGAAGTATGCTAGTGAGGAAGTGTAAATGGTGCCATAAAATAAACTTTAGGGGGCGCCTGGCTGGCTCAGCAGGTGGAGCATGTAACTATTGATCTCAGGGTTTTGAGTCTGAGCCCCACATTGGGTGTAGAGATTATAAATAAACTTAAAAAAAGATACATTTTAGAAAGCTCTTCTATTCCTATCAGATTTTTCTTCCTAAGAATCAGGATCCACATTTGGTCTTATTCCTCCAGCCACAGTAAGGGGCACATGCTGCTTAGCTCTAAAAGTTGTTTTCTAAGAGCTTTTTAACACTTTCTAAAGATATAACAGTTTTATCGGGAGTGGTGAGTAGGGTATTCCTTCTGAAGGCAGCGCAGGATTTAGTTCAAGAGCACACGAATCACCGGTGAGGCTACTAAGGCATCTTCCGGTTTTTAGTCTCTAATTCTCCGTCAAGAGGGATGGTTTTGATAAATACAAAGCATTTTTCCGAGAGGAAATGAATACACACAAAGGCCCATTTCCCACTTGCTAAGCCTATTTTCTAAGCTCTAGGTTGTGTCTGAACCACTCTCTGTTTAGACCTGTAGGCTTCCTTCCCAGGGAGGGCTGTAGGAGGTGTGCACACAGGCATCATGCTGTGCATTAATACATCCTTTTCCTTCAGGTTGTTACTTACTCACTTGGTGGGCTTTCTGTGGATATGTAGAAAGCAGCTTTGTAAACCACGAGGTTACAAACTCGTCTCAGCCACGAGGAGAATAAAGGTCTGGGGTGCCTTGGTGGCTCGGTCGGTTAAGCGTCTGACTTTGGCTCAGGTCATGATCTCGTGGTTCATAGGTTTGAGCCCTGCATCAGGGTCTATGCTGACAGCTCAGAGCCAGGAGCCTGCTTCAGATTCTATGTCTCCCAATCTCTCTCTCTCTC